TCAACAAAAGGACATTATGTAAGAGGCCACAGAGGGCTGGATCCCCAGACGCTTCACCCCCAGGGGCTGACCCAGACCTCGGCAAAGGGCAGTAGCCCAGCCAGGGCGGTCACTGCTTCCGGGCTGGCGGCAAAGCCCAGGGCAGCAAGCAGGCGGCCAGCTTCCATCAAAGTGTCCAACCATGCCCCTCACTCCAGGTCCTCCGGCCATCTCGGAGCAGAGGGAGGTTCTTAACATCAGCTTGAAAAAAGCCTCTAAGTAAAGGAGATGCCCTTTCTCGCAGACTAGCCCGGGGCGCTGATGCTGGGGGCTGCCGCCCACACTCCACCCTCACCCCACCCGGCAGGAGCGAGGTCAGAGGTCAGGGCCTTTCCAGAGGCCTCCCAGTACTGCAAGGTGAGCTGGGAGTCGGGTGCTGACCCTGGAACCCGGGCGGGCGGGCGGTTTACGGGGCTGGGGCAGCCGCGCCACACGCTGTTTCACAGGACCCGGCGAGGGACGTGAGCACTCAGAGAAGGAAACCCCAATAAAGACGGGGCGCGTGCGTGTGTTCTGGCGTGGGGTGAGGAGTCGGTCATGACAGTCGAATGAAAGTCCTGGCGTAGCTGCCACTCAAAGCAACGGGGTAGACGTGGGCGTGGGGGACGGAGGAGGCCTGGAGAGGCCAGGCCACGCCCCAGGCACCTCTTCGGGAGCCTGGGGTGGCAGGGAGGGAAGACGGAGGGAGACTGGTCAAACGGTGCGTGCTTTCCTCTGTGACCAGACAAGCTTTAAGGGGCTGAACCCTCCAGCAGGGGAAGTAGGTTTCCATAAAGCTGGCATTTGAAAGAAGAATTAGCCAGGGGAAAGGAGAACCCAGCAGAAGGGAGGGACACAGGGCTGGGCCGAGACCCTCACCAGCCCTCTCAAGGAGTAAACCCTGCGGCGGTGGGGGACAGGGTATGTCTGTGCCCGCAGAATTTCATCCTGGCCAACGTAATTTCCAGTATGACTGTTGACTGTCCTGGACATAGATGCCACCCTGCTTCCCCAGGCTCCTGCCCCCTCCAGGCTCCTACTCCCCCAGACACCTGCCCCCCAGCTTCCTGCCCCCACAGGCTCCTGCCTCCCCCAGGCTCCTGCCACCCCTAGGCTCCTGCCCCCACAGGCTTCTGCCCCCCCCAGGCTCCTGCCCCCCCAGACTACTGCCACCCCCAGCTCCTGCCCCCCGGCCAGCTCCGGCTCCTGCCACAGCACTGACCACAGGCCCCACTTGCAGTGCTGAGCTCCGTCCCTCACCCACTTGCCCTCCCTTTGCACCGCTCTCACATGGGCAGAGAAGTTGCCCAGGCACTGCCCGGCCCCTTGTGCAAGTCCCGGCTACCGGTCACACCGGTCCCCACCACCGCCCCGGACCCGTGCCAGGTCACCCACAGCAGCTCATCACGCACGGCACGGAAGGCCCACGCCGTGAAGGGCGAGAAACCCGGAGGGGAGCTGCATCCCGCCCACCCCAGGCTCTGGGCAGACCTCAGCGAGGGCAGCCGCCACTGCCCCTCAAACACCGAACATGTGTCCACACCGCGTCCACTAGAGAAGCACTAACAGGGAGTAAATGACAGTCCACAGTACCAGCGGCGGCTGTTGGCGGGTGGCGCTAGGCCTGCAGCACGGGCGTGACCACACTGGCCCTGGCCCTTGCACCCTGCAGCAGGAAGGCACAGCCCCACTGGACAGGGAAGGAAGCTGAGATTAGGGGCTCGCCTCAGGCCTCAGCAGCGAACACACGTGGCATCCATGTGGGGACCGAGATGCCTCAGCCTGGAGACTTGTGGGGTCCCTCAGCCCCTGGAGCAGGAAGGGCCTTCAGTCACTAGGGAGCACACCCACTTGAGTTCACAACTAGGGAAACTGAGGCCTGCCCCAGTCACACAGGTGTCCTGGCTCCCAGGCCAGGGCTCTTTCCTCCACTCAAATTCCCTCACGAAAGTAGGCGGGAGCCATCTTGCGCCCGCCCCACGGGGCCAATGGTGTGGGTACAAGCCTCTGCTTGCCAGAGGCCTCGAATCCCAGGATGAAAGGTTCTGTGGCAGCAAAACAGCACCGTGGGCAGAAGCGCGCCTGACCTCCGCCAGGACTTGCAGGCTGGCATTCACCTGCTCACCTGCTCGGCGGGCGCAAAGCTTCGGGAGTCACTGGCCGAGCCACAGACCTCGCAGGCCTTGGCGCTCACAGCTCGGTGGGAAGGGGTGTTCTAGAGCTGATGCCTCTGCAGGGGTGGCCCCGGGTCCCCTGGGTGGAGAAGCAGGCCCAGAGAGGGAGGGCTCTGGAATTTTAATTGTCTGGTATGAAAGTGTTGGCTGCTCCCTGGGTGGGGTGAGCAGGGCGCCCCACCGGGTGGCCAAGGCTCCATTCCCCACCCCCAGTGGTTTCCAGGGCAGTGTGCTGCAGGTGGAGGGGGCTAGAGGTTCGCTGGCTCCCCCCAACCTCCTGCTGTGCCACACTTCAGGAGCCCCCCAGGTGAGCCTGGACCAGGAATGTGAGGCATCTGAAGAGGGTTATTAATAGCACTGAGGGGTTGAGAAGAGAGGCCAGCAGGCTCTGATTGCACACAACCCTCTTCACCCAGCCCGGCATCTACAAAACAAACCCAACCCTGTCCCGGAGAGGACACTTCACCTTTTGTGGGCTCAGTCTCCTCCCCTGCGAAATGGTTAGGAGAGGGGGAAGAAGCTGGCAGGTCTGAGCACAGGAGGTGGGAAGAGGGGCAGAGCCAGAGCTGGGGGTGGAAGAAGGAAAAACCCCATGGAACACCCCACCCAGACCCACTCAGACCGGTGAGGGCCCCACAGGAGGTGGTGAATGGATGGACTGTTACAGAGCCCCAGGAGGCTGCCACCAACAGGGAGGGCCAGGAAGACTCCGCCCAGAGTCCAGGCCTGCCCCACAAGGAGGTAGACGGGAACTTAACCCCCTGCTGGGCCTGGCTGAGGTCTGACTCATTTGTACATTTTCCTCCCCGCTGGCCTGGCCCCAGGCCTGGCTCAAGAAGGGGGGGGTCTCAGGACCACAGGCAGTGGGCAAGCTTTCCATACTCGGCAGGGTGGGGACACAGAGCCAGGGGGCACCTGGCCCCTGACCTCAAAGGGTCTGAGTGGGCTGAACACCACTGCTGGACAGCTACAAGACTGCCAGGCACAGCAAGTGTGGGTGGACACAGATCTCTGGGCCACTGGACAGGGAGAGGCAACTTCAGCCAAGGGAAGCTGGCTCCTGCCTCCATCGGCTGCCCCCGCCCTCCCTAACAGGCATCCTGCCTACTGTGCCTCCTCTGTGCCAGGTCCTGACCTGGGCCAGCTTTGTGAATCAGGTCACTTCAGACTCAACAACTCACGACAGAAGAAGTCGTTCGCCCCACTACAAAGGAGAGAAAACCAAGGTGCCCCAGCTCTCAGAGGCTTGTCCAGGATCTCACGCCCAGAAACCATGCTGGGATTCCACCCAGCAGCCTCACCCAGGCCAGGCAGGTGAGCCCCAGAAGGGAGTTTCCCAGGTGATCTGAGATCCTCACCCTATCTCTCCAGTCTTGGGGCTGGTGGGGGAGGAACCCACAGCCTTCTGGGGATCCGGGGCAGGGGGCCCCGTGGGCAGTTGCCCTTCTGAGAGAGTGGTGGCTGTTAAGTGACAGGCTGGGAGCTGGGCTGGCTGGCGGGTTTGAGGAGGCTGGGCTTTGGTTTCCACCACCAGACTGGGCTGCCAGCAGGAGCTAGGAGCTAGCTGAGCCTGTGCCCAACCGGAGTTCTGCCGCCTCCTCCCCCAGCATTCCCCATCTATCCCTAGCCCATTCCCCAGGCCTGGATGGGCTGGTCCCCTGGAAGCCTCAGCCACGTGTACTGAGGCTGGGGCCAGGCCAGCGGGGGACAGGGACAGTTAGGGGGTAAGGTCTGGACAAATTTGGCCTAGTAGTTCTGGAAAATTTCCAGGCTGGGATACCCGAGGCTGGGGGAGAGGGTGCGCCCCCTCCCATAGCTCGATTGGGAGCCAGTTGGGAGATCCCAGGAGACCAGCTCTGAGGCCTTTCCGGTAGGGGAGGTGAGGGTGAAGGGGTAGGCGGTATTCCAAGCTCCTGGCAAGGAGGAAGGACAAACTCTCAAGGGGGCTGGAAGAGCAGCCCGGACGTGGAGGGAGCAAGAAGCGACGAAGGACTTGGTCCCTGGCCACCATTGACTGTCCTATCCTGAGCCGGACTCTCCCGAGACCCCAGTCCAGCGAGGGCAGCGGATCGGGGTGGGGATGTGGCCCGAGGAGCTCCGCGGCACCCCGGGCGCGAATAACGCCCCACGGGACTCACCTGCGATGTGCTGGCGCCGAGCGTCGTCCAGGTGCGTGGACAGCACGTCCCCCATGGCGAGGAAGAGCCGCCGCCCGATCCCGATCCGCGCGCCACCCGCCGCTCCCGTGCCGCTCAGGCGGACGCCGCTGGCGCCATGGATCCCGGCCCTCTCAGCTCCCGCCGCCTCCCTGTGGCCTCTGCTCGGGCTGGCGTTCCTGCCCGGCCGTGATCGTCCAGCCGGCCGC